ATGCTTTACCATTAAAATGTTGTGATCACTTGGTAAGATAATAGCACGTGTAATGTAGTTAAAACACATCAAATTGAAGAGATATCCAATTCCACTACATATTGTTACATTATAACACTGCAACAAAAACAGGCTTTTGCAATGTTCATAAAACATTGTTAAAGACCTTTTGTAACGTTCGGACGTATGTTGCAAACCTCGTTGCTATCATAGAGTAAAAGGGATACGAAAATATTTTTGAACATTGTGAATAACCTTTTTGTAGCATTTTTTGAAAGTTGCTAATAATCTTTAGCAGCATTTTTCCATCGTTGCGAATAACCTTTTGCATCATTTTTTTAACCTTGCTAATAAGCTTTCTATAGCATTTTTTCAATGTTGTCTATACTCATATCCTTATTTTTTGCAACATTTATTGACCATTGACGTAGGTCATTTTACAATTTTTTTTTAAATTTTTTATTTTTTTTCTATTTGTATAGCAATTTATGCAAATCCACCACAAAATTAAGAAGGATTTTTGGACTTACATTAAATTAATATAATTTCATTAATCCATGCTAAGAACATGTTCGATACACAAATAGATGAGAATAGTATATAAACATTCTACGGCCAATCGAGCAGGTACAACATATATCCAACCGAAGAAATGTTGATAGTAAGATAGAAGAGTACCAAAAGGCTAAAATAACAAAGATCAACACCTTTACATCCCGATGGCTTAGATATTCAGTTTGTTGAAGTTTGGCCTACTCGACTCTACATGGAACATAACCTACTATAGTGTACTACTTGCCTTAAACTACACCCAACCATCAAAACTTACAGTGCAAAATCCAAAACGATTTGCAAAAATCAATATTACTTTCCACTATTGTGCTCAGCCTTTGAGTGGGACTCCAAAGTATGCTAAAAATTAAATGTCCTGCAAAATCCAAAAACATGTTAGTGTCACTTGTGTCATTTCCACAAAATTCCAAGTAATAATGGCTTCAAAACATACCTGTTGCAGCTCCTGCAAGCATGTGATCCAGTTGATTTAGTTTGGCCTGTTGGCGAGAGTTTTCACTGTCTGTTTAGAGGGGCAGGGTGCGGCAACATAACCACCACCTTTCTTGCTATCTGGCATATTAGAAAATTATACATTAATTCAAAAGTTCATTAGTTTTACGCTTATTGAAGCCTATCAAGATTTGAAGGGGGTAAGAATTAGCAAGGAAACAATTTAATTTTTAGAATTTAATTGTAGAAATTTAAATTACTAACCTTATCGAAGACCAATTTGTCCAATAGCGGAGATGCTTTCTCTTGTTTTAGTCGTTTCTCCAAATTCCTCAATTTAGTTGTATGCATACCAACTGATATCCATTATGACGAAAAAAGAAGACACCCAAAATATTAAGTTCAAGAATGACACCTTTTGGTTCTATACTTGTTCTATTAGTATTCATTACCGTGCATGTTTTTGACTTCTGCTTCGGAGGAAGATCGCTGTCCAAATTTCCCTACAAAGACGAGACAACGAGAAATCATAACAAGATCGTATTAGCGCCTAAAATTAATGGACATATTATTCATTCCACAGAGTAGATAGAAAATTAATAAACTATAAACACATGTGAAGCAAAAATGCTGAAAATAACAAAATGAACTGCCTCATTAGTAAATGATTTGATACAAAATTTTAGCCACATAGAGAAAAATTATGCCTTGTTGCCAAAGCCTTAAAAACCTATTTTTTTTTTTGGTTACATCACAATGCTAATAAAAAAAACCTAAATATTTCAACCACTTTCAGAAAACTGACAAAAATAAAGAAATCCATTTGCCGACATCCAAATATGGATGCCACGGATACATAATTACAAATGTTTAGAGATAGATAATAACAACAACATCGTCGGGGGAAAAAAAAAAGCTTACCATAAAAAAAAGGAAGAGGTTTTATCATAATTTTGGTGACAATATCAATAAAATGAATTGTTATTCTTGAAGTAAAGGAATACTTACAGTTATTCCACCTTGGTAGAGAAGATGGAAAACGCATCAAGGACGCCAGAGATAGAGGTGGTGCCACCCAGTGGCTCTCCTATCACAATGTCGCCTTTAACCAAAATGTCGTGGCAATAATTACCCACAATTTGGCATGACAGGCCTCTATTTTCTATCATTTTGTCATAGGGACACAGTTGTATCTTTTTTCCTCTTTTGGTGTGCGGTCTAGGAATGGAATGGGTTAAAGATGGGAAGAAAGACAAGATGGGGGTTTTGTTAACACTTGTATTCATTATGTAATTACATTGTTCTTGCCGGACGCTAATTCTATTTTTTTTCTTTTTTCATCTTGGATTCTCCATTTGAACCTCACCTTCTGTTCTATCTTAAATCATTTAAAATTAATCAAATAAGCATTTGTCAATAGCAGGAGATGGTGGTTTTTCTGATTTTGAAAATGATTTTTGTTATTCTTGCAGATGCACAATGAATGCCAACATCAAAGAATACAACTGTACATAATGAGCCATAAATCTTCAGACAACATTGGCAAAGGGCTTGATTGCCATATCGAAAGAGTTGAAGTTAAAGAAATCAGATGCAGACTGGAGGAAGATGATGACAATAATAGTTCTATTATTAATGTAGTTGAGGATTGTCAAGATGAACTTATTGAGGAAGGGAGCAAGTTAGCTGCAAATCCCCAGAGTGAAAAGCTTAGCGAGTGGGAGGCAAGAAGATATGGGGCCATGCTGAGCGTGAAAGGAATTGGTACTTGCGCTGCTACAAGAATTATTCTCTCTCCATTTCCTCTTCCTGTTTCTTGCACGCTCTATAATCTAAAGAAAAATGTTTAACTCAAACTTATGTTTTACTTTCTTTAAGCAATCTTGAATGATCTTTTACCATACTGAATCTAAGCCAAGCTCTAGCAACTCAGTGAAGTTAAATTTCACTTTATGCATCTTGGTTTTACGAGCTGTTGTTGCTCCTGCGGGTTGAGAAGTAATTTATGGTTCCAAACGCTGTTCGTTCTAAAAATAACGCTATTTTCGGTACCACTAAGAATCATGGAATGAGATGTTATGATATCACTTTCTCAAGGTGTTATGGCATCTATGTTTTGTGTATTTAGAGATTCATTACATAGTAGAAATTAGTAAGATGTGGTTTGTCGATGAATTCTTTTAAAATTTTTGGCAACGAACTGAGAAAAATGAGGGATAGTGGTCGTGTCACTTTATTGAATCATTGTTTTGGCAAATCTGAAACAAAATATTCAAATTCAGCTAAGGATTAATTATGAATTTAGGTAAAATGATATATTTTAAGGTTTTGATTGATGTTTTGTTGCTTTTTGAGGTTTTGTAACTTTTTTGAATTCACGTTAGTTTTACGAGTATTTGTAACTTTTTTGAATAGTGTCACTTTTACAGTGATGAGTGTTTATAAAATTTTTGACATTTATATCTTAGTTTAGTCGTCAATTTTCTTTAGATGTGAGGTTATTGGAAACTTGGTTGTATTTAAATTTTTCGATCATGATTATATTGTTCAAGTTGTTAGTTCAAAAGTTTTTAATTTGTTCATCAGTTGTGAACTTATTGAATAAGTAGGCTTTATTGAAAATCATGGGTTATGATTCGACACTTTTTTTTTATTTTCAATCATTTTTTTGAACTTGTGTCACTTTTTATTTTTTAAAATTTGTAACTTTTTTTTTTGTCATTTTTTTTGAATTTGTCACTTTTTTAAAATTTCTGTTACTTTTTTGAATTTTTATCATTATTTTTTTTTTAATTTTTGTCACTTTTTTTTAATGAAAAATGTTGTAATGTGAGATGGTGACCAGTGAAAAATTATATGAAATGTCGGGCGAACAAAATGGATGATGTTATTTTGGTGTTTGTCACTTTTTTTGAGTTCGTATCACTTTTTTTTTTAATTGTGTTAAAAAAAAGTGACAATTTTTTTTTTAAAAAAAAAGTGACATTTTGTCACTTTTAAATTTACACAGTATTTTATACTTCCAAAAAACTTTTTTTTTTTTTTCAGATTTTGTCACTTTTTTGAGTTTATCACCTTTTAAATTTGTCACTTTCTTATCTTCTTAAAACTGTGACATATATGTGATATTTTCCTAACATAATCAGCATGTGGATTGTCCTAAACATACTGATTATGTTAAGAACATGATCACTAGTGTTGCACAAATGGATTGTGTTATTTTGATCGTTGTCATTTTTTTTTTAGTTTGTGTCACTTTTTTTTTGAATTGTATTATAAAAAGTGACACAATGTCTCTTTTCAATTTTACACAGTACTTCTTACTTTCAAAAGTTTTTTCATACGATTTTTCAAAACACCCCTACTTTTAAGGGTATTTTTGTAAGTTGTCCTTTTTTATTTTTTAGAAAGCCTAATAAAGAAAAGGCCCAGAATCTTTTAAAAAAAAAAAAAAAAGGGCCCAAGAATACACCTTTTTCCCAGTTTGCTTCCCTCGTAACTTTCCCTCTGTGTTGTGTTTTTTTTTCTCTAATCATCCATTAATAGTCCAAAACTTCAAAAACATGATAATCAATGTTATCAAAATCGATTAGACCCAGGTCCGGTCCTGGGCTGAGGCATTTGAGGCCTCAGCCTCAGGCCCAAAACCCTTAGGGGGCCCAATTTTGGTTTAATTTTTTTTTTTTTTTTTTGGGATAGTTTTGGATTTTGGATGTTATTTTAATTTTGTATTGTTTTCGTAAACTTGTAATGCTCAAATTTTTGCGTACATAATTGAAAATGTTATTAATTTTTACGTAAATTTTTACGTTGATTTCGTCCGGAGGCCCAATTTACGAACCTCGCCTCGGGCCTCCATTATCACAGGACCGGCCCTGATTAGACCCAGCCGGTTCAATAGATAAAATCGAGAACCGGGCCCAAAATCGGGCCAATCATGCTCGATTAATCACTTAAAAACCCATCGAACCGGCAGGTTTAAACGTAAACCGACGAATAGGTCACGATTTTGTGGTTTTCCCAACTTTTTTATTTTTAGTTTAAAAAAATTTCAATTTCATGAATGAGCCTCATAAACAACAA